TTCGGTTAAAGGATCAATCGTGTGGAGCCGTTCAACACAAAACAATTCAGTTTATTTAATACCTAGCCTGCTATGATTGTCGGGTGAAATACATGGGTCAAACTAGTAGAACAGGGGCAGTCAGACTAGCAGAATATAAAAATCTAGCAAAATCTAGACTGGTTGACCCGAAAAAGATAAGAAATCTAGAGAATAGTTGTAGATAGCACTAACTACATGCAATCACACAACCATACAATAGTGTGGATGGGATAAGACGACAGTTTTAAAATCTAATATAACAACAGCGTGGAGGGGGAGATTGATAACAATGGAAGCTTTGTTTATCGAATCCACTGAACTGTCCACCAGGGTGTCTGGAAAACTTTACTACCCCAATAATGATAAATAGGAGACAACAAAGAAAAATATAAAACTTAAGTTTCGAAGTCGCGTGATTATAATTGATGATATGATTATCATCGATAACTGATTGTGTTCGAAACCTTGTCATCCAGTAAATAATAATACTGTTTCACAGAATGTGTAGTACATCTAATAAACAAACTAATAGGAAATTATCTATTACCACAGTGCCCAAGTTTTATACACATATTAATATGTTAAATCTCTTTTGTGCATAAACGTATCAATAATTTATTTAGGCTGTCCGCATGTTTTTGATGAGAAGCCGAGGAAATAAATAATGGTACCTTGTTGTTCTGCACAAACCATTGTTGTTCTTGCTTGATTCAGATTCATAAAGGCGAACAAATGTATGAAATTGAAGATGAAATGAAATTCCTCAACACCGTAGGATTAGAAATTATGGCTACAGAATTCTTAGTCCAGCTAAGATACGAGACCCATGGCTTAACTACTAGGCCTCCATTTTATTGTAGTCGCAATAGATAGAGCTGCAGGCTGGTATTTTGCAAAGCTTTAATTTGATTCTCAATATCAACTCTTTTCACTACACATCACAATAGAAGGGTTGAGCGAAGAAATATTTACTTTTCAATTAGATCCTCATCTCACTCTGGCTCTACTCTAATATACACGTTGTAGCATTTTTATTACAATACACAACAATTTACCAATCATCAACTGGCACTGATATGTTTGTTAACAATAATTAGTCAGTGTCAAAATGTCAGGGTGACGGCTGATAATTAACGAAGAAAATCAATACACACAATTAAAAGGTAGAAATGGTTAGAATAAATTAATTTTACAAGGATAACACGTAAATTAAAGATAAACTAGACAAAATAAATTAAATTAAATTATTCGGACAATTATAATCTTTTATAGGCTTAGTGGGAGGGGGGCGAAGTAGTCCTGTTTATCCATTCTTGTGACGATAGCCACGGTAGGGAAAGTGGCTGTACAAATTCCTTCTGAACACACATGTTTGGCTAATTCAGGTGAATTCCGATTGCTTAAGCTGTTGTATGTAGAAGACGAACTCACAGAGCAAAATTAAGATAAGTTGGAATGCGATAAATAATTTTAAATGCTGTATTAACATCAATCTTATGCTCAGTATCAACGAGGTGGGCTAAAAAAGAACTGCGAATAGATCTTGTCTGTCCCTTGTTTAACCCTGCTCGATGATGTTCGGAAATACGACGATGGACTTGCCTAATTTTACGCCCAATGTAGCTGGCTCCGCAGCTGCAGTCAAACTGGTAGATACACATAGAGGAGGCGAATTGAGGTAGTTTATCCTTATTTCTCGGACATAAAATAGGGGTGGTTGTAAAGAGATAACGTGCCTCTGCTGCATAATAAGTTTGAATGCAGCTGTCCAAATAATTTAATTTATTTTGTCTAGTTTATCTTTAATTTACGTGTTATCCTTGTAAAATTAATTTATTCTAACCATTTCTACCTTTTAATTGTGTGTATTGATTTTCTTCGTTAATTATCAGCCGTCACCCTGACATTTTGACACTGACTAATCATTGTTAACAAACATATCAGTGCCAGTTGATGATTGGTAAATTGTTGTGTATTGTAATAAAAATGCTACAACGTGTATATTAGAGTAGAGCCAGAGTGAGATGAGGATCTAATTGAAAAGTAAATATTTCTTCGCTCAATCTTTCTGTTTTCTAAATGTCTAAATGAGGATTTTTTCTATACTGAAATCTTCTGAACAACAGAAAGAGTCTACCAGATCTAAACTGTTCCAAGTAGTCTCATTACTAAAGAGAAAAGCTGTTCTTATGGAAACTCAGGTTATGTGCGTCCCTCTGAAGGCACATAGAGTGTAGAAGAACACATCTCCAGTTCTTCTTCTCCTTTTTTTCATGGTTAGCTATTCTATGCATTTTACTGCCATTATTATTCCTTTGAATTCCAGCTGGAAGGTGGAGTTTTATCAGAACATCCCAACTTCCCCCTGTTTTTTTCCACATTCCTTCTAAAGCTGACCATCAGTTTTCATCTTCTCACTACACTGTCTCCTTCTTGTTACATTTTGATGCTCAACCTACTATTTCTCACTTGAGCTCTTGATATGTGATGTCGTTTGAAGGAATTGACATCACACACAAACCAACAAAATCCCATCGCTCAGCTGGCTGACTCTATGTCAACAAAAAGACTCAACAATGAAAGAAGATAAAACCAACATTATTATCTACAAAATAAGTTGCAACGACTGCGAAAAACACTACATTGGCTAAAGTGGACGTCCGATTCGTCTTCGTATCAACGAACATAAGCTAGCCGTCAAATGACATGACATCCACTCCCTCGCTCAAAACACTACATACAAACAACCACGGACAGCAATTCGACTGGGACAACCAACGTTCAAATATTAGACAGAGGAATAATAATAATTTTTGCTTTATTCCAAAAACACTACTAATGATTCAGCAGGGAATTTTCAGCATTCAGTACAATATTGCATCTATTTTAATCTAAAACGACAAGAGAAAATAACAAATACACATTACATAATAATAATAACAACGAAACATTATTATGGCAGCTATGCCGCAAATTACAGTATGCAATACGAAGAAAAATATGCATAAAGTATAAAGTTGTAGAAATAATAGTAATAACAACTAAAAAATTAAATAGCTGAGTTATGATTAAACGATAGAAAGTGTGACACCATAAAACTACAAAAAGATGAACGATGAAAGGGTCGATTCACTTTGCTAATTACATAGTAACTTATATGTTTCACGTCTAACAGTGTCTTCGTCATATAAAGTACGGGCTAAATAGGGTATTGTAGAATTTCTGTACTTAGTGGTTGGAGCATATAACTTTTTATATTGACCTCTCGTCCTACCTGATGAGATTCAAGGAGATAGTTGTGAATAAAGGGGGTTCAGAGGGTCTGACAGTATAGCCTTTGCCCATTTCGTACAGGAATTTATATGCCTCTCGACTATAGTATTGGCAAGCTCACGCAGTGGCATACCACAATCCCTACTCACAGCATTTAATACTCTTCGTAATATGATACAATCTTTTTTGAGAAGCCCAGGAAAGATTAATTGAGAGCAATAGAGTACAATAGGTAAAATACAGGAGTTAACAAACTGCAGAAGTAAAGTATTTCATTGGTGGATGGTGGCTAGCAGTGGAATCCAGGATGCGTATTTCGTCCTATTTTGGGACTCGTCTCTGGATGTACCTGCATTTCTCAGCTGAGTGATGATGCTCCCACCACGGAGGCTCAAACCCAGTGCCCATAGTTTCAAACACCAAATGCGAGTACATAAAGATGATGAGTCCTAAATAGGACGAAATGCGCATCCTGGATTCCACTGCTAGTCACCATTCATCAATTAAATTCTAATTCAATACCCAGACATCGTCGAAGCATCTGCAAAAGAAGCCAACGGACATGTCAACCTGAGACCTAGCACTTCGGTCCAATCAATTGACGGAAAGATCTAAAATTCAATAAAAAATAAAAAAAAGGCAGAAGTAAAAGTTGGTTGATACCTGATTGTCTTAACTTCTTAATGCAGAAGTTAAGACGAGAATGCTATAGAATTGTTTAGAAGCCCATCTAGTATTCCAATGGCTCGTCAATCAACAGATACATTGACATAGACAAAATTTACCAATCGATAAGAAGGGAATCTCACACACAAAGAGTTGAACTTCAGGTTGAGGAAACAATCAATACCAATACCAAAAGTAGACTAGAGTGTGTGAAAACACACAAAAACAACCAATCACCCACTAGGAAAGATGACTAATTAGCTCTTGGATAAATCTGAAAGATCACTTCAATTCAAATTGAAGTATGCGCTGAAGATGTTGCCTAGTGATGAGGCAATGAAAGCTTCGCAACTATAAGCCATCTATTCAAGTCAGAGCTATCTTCATCACCATTCCCCAGTCTACTAACCCTGTATTTGGTAACATAATCATAAATTTTAAATAATCTGAGCATATCTCATAAATGATGGCACCTCAATAACACAAGATTAAACCAACCTCCTTAGATCTACTTTAGTACAATATTAAGGTTAAATACAAAAACGTGATCATATTGACAATTGAACTGCTGCTGTATAAACTGAGAATCTGAAGTGTAACCGGGGTATTTCTTCTCACAAAATTGTTTTATGTTGTTGAAACATCTTAAAAAAATGTAGACGATTTAACTTATACGGTCTTCTTCTGACATGTCTCTTTTGCAGTATACTCTGTCTGACCATAAACACACAAACTCACAGAGATGGAGAGAGAGAGAGAGAGAAACTCTTGAGTTTATTGTAACCTGAATGGTATTCATTTTGTTAGTGTAATCATAAACTATGCACTACACACACTTTTTTTTTATTATTATTTCTATTCATCCTGTTTTAATGATTACAATGAAAGCAGGTATGGCCGATTCTTTGTATGTTACCTTAATCAACCAATTACTTACTCTCATGTCATAGGTAGGTTGGTGTACAAGATATCTATCTATCTGTCTATCTATCAAGGTTGAAAACTGGTCATCTGTAATGTACCACCATCATTCTATTTTATTTAAAACAGTCAAGTGTATGGTTAAATAATAAAAATAATATAATAATTATTATTATAAAACATTGATCCGATTGAAAAAGTATCCCCCAAAAACAAGAAAACATTTTTTTTAAATAATGTGCCAATATCGGATTTTAAAAATTCTTATTATAATTTCAAATGTTATAAATTTAGTAAGTCAATTAATTCAATTTTTTTTTAAATTTTGATTTAATAAATAACTTTGTTAGTGTAAATGTTCTCTTTAAAGTTTCACTTTGTATAATTATCTGCTTGCTTACTCATGATGATATAATGATGGACCACAATGTTCGGCCTTTCTTTTATCATATCTGTACCCATGAACTTGTTTATTATATATATATATATATATATCACAGTCTGTGAAACAGTATTACTGTTAACTGGATGACAGAGTTTCGAACACAATCGAATGTTCTTCATAATCATTTCATCAGTTATCATCACACAAATTCGAAACTTGAATTTTATAGTTTTCTTTGTTCTCTCCTATTTGTTGTCGTTGGGGTAGTAGAGTTCTTCAGATACCCTCGTGGACAGGTGTTGAATCATTCCCATTACACGTATATTCATTGAGTTGATTGGACAAACAAAGCTTCCGTCGCTATCAATCTCACGCTACACTCTGTTGTTATATTAGATTTTATAACTGTCATCTTATCCCAACCCATTCTTCATTATGGTTGTGTGTAATTGCATGTGGTGTTATGGTTGAACTATTCTCTAGATTTCTTCTTTTTCGGGTCAACTAATCTAGATTTCTCGAAAAATACCCATTTATTCATAAGTAAAAACACAGTTTTTGTTCAGCGAAGAAATTTCTTTTCAACGACTTCATTTTCAAGCTGTACAGTCGTATTTATATTACAGAAAAAGGTTATTAAGTGGCACTAAATAATTGCTCAGTCAATGTACGTATATGTGATAAAAGTTATAAGGGGTAGAGTTGAAGTGGATAAATTACAAAAATATGAAAGATTGTTCTATAACAAAAATGTCAAGTGTTGTCTAAAAATTATGAAAATTAGGAGTACGATTACGATAAGAATGAAGATGTGAAGTGAAGTGGAAAGAATTCAAGTGGTAAAATAAAATAAAAACTAGAAAGAAAATTATTATGACCAAGGTAAAGAAAGGGGTTTGACAAAACGCTTTTGAACACATAATTTAGGTTTCTGTTCATGTATAGCTAAAGCTTCGGCTATGCATAAGTGAAGAAAACGTAAACTTTTGGATCGATTCGATTTTGCCATGTATATAACTTTGAAAGATGAATCACGTGGGGCTAAATGACCAGACTCTAACAGGTGATCACTAATAGACGACTTTGCAGTTCTACGTTCGCCTTTCATTAACCAAACCGGATAGTGTTCAGCTACACGTTTTCGGAGATTACGCTTACAACGTCCAATATAAACAGCTCCACAAGAGCAAGTAAAAGAGTAAATGCACATAGATGTGGACAAAAGCGGTAATCTATCCTTGACGCATTGTCTGATCATATTTCGGCTGGTAAAAACTAGTTGCAGGTCAGCTGCAGGAAAAGTGCGTTTAATACATTTAGATAAACGATTTTTAATCAATTCTGAAATGGTGTCACCTTTGAATGCAAGACTCATAAACAATTTTTTCTTTGGTACTGTGACTTGTCTCGGGGTGGATTCTTTCTTGATGTTACGTTCAATGAACCTTGTGGGATAACCATTATTAAGGAGATTTGATCGAAGGTTGTCTAGTTCCCTATCGATTGTCTCTGGAGAGCAGATTTTACGAATTCTGGAGCATAAGGAGTGAATAAGATTTCTCTTTCTCCCTAAAGGTACCCAACTGTTGAAGTTAGTGTACTGCCCAGTGAATGTTGGCTTTCGGTAAATCGACCTTAGAAGCGTTCCATTCTCTCTTCTATCTAGCTTAACATCAAGAAAGTGAAACGAAGAATCCGACTCTTCTTCGATCGTGAAAAGCAAAGATGGGTGAGAACCATTAAATATTCTAAGAAGTTCGGCAGTTGAAGTGTTTTCATCACATACAATGAAGGTATCATCAACATATCTTTTATACATAAACAGACTATCGATGGTTTCCTTTAGTGGGCCATTCTCTAAGCTTGCCATGAAAACGTCCGCTAAGAGCGGTCCTAAAGGAGACCCCATGGCGACTCCATTCCTTTGGTTGTAGATGACATCATTAAATCTAAATTGCACATTCAGTGTGCATCTCAATAGTAGTTGTTTAAGATAATCAGTTGGTAAGCCAATGTTCATGCTATTTGATTCAATATACTCGCATAGATAGCAGATAGTGTCTACTAGTGGTACATTTGTGAACAATGAACAAATATCTAACGAAATCATATGCTTACCAGTCACATTAATTTCATCAACACAACTGACGAAGTCAAAAGTGTCGGAAAGACTATGTTTACATAGATTCAATCTAACTGGTTCCAGAATTTCCGCAAGCCATTTAGCGGTAGAGTGATACGGCGAATTCAGCATATCCAATACAGGTCGCAGAGGGACATCATCTTTGTGCACCTTTGGGAGACCATATAAACGAGGGATAGTTGAACCAGATGGTTTAAGCTGTTCATACATATATGGAGTAATGATGCATTCTTGCTTCAATTTCGTCAAAGTTTTAGATAATTCCTTCTCAATATTATCTGTCTTGTCCTTTTGATCAGGTGATTTTAGAAATTTATCTTCATCACTCAGGATGGTACATAATTTATTGACATAATCATCACGATTAAGAATAACAATACCTGATCCCTTGTCTGGACGAATCAGTATTATGTTTTTGTTGTTAAGCAATTCATTTAGTTGTCTTTTGTGTTCTTTTGATAACATTTGTCGTTGTCTGCCTTGCGTTCTTTGGTACTGGTAATAACAATGAAGTAATGAAGATTTGAATTGTTCAACATCTTCGCTGGACATTGGACTCAAGTCATGTGTTTGATTCATGAGATTTTCAAACTGAACTTTTGTGTCTAATTCGTTGACTCTGGACGAAACAGTAGAGAACTTAAGACCCAGAGATAGGATTTGCATTTGAATATCCGACAAAGTTAAATTAGAATAGTTAAAAACGTATTTCTCTGGCGAATCCGGAAACTTAAAGTGAGACTCGATTGTTTTACAACTTTTCAGTATATTTATTTTAACATCTTCAGATCGTTTCTTTATAACGTCAGAAATATAATCCTCAAACAGGCTACATTCTGTCTCTGTCAGTTCAAACAAGAAATGCCTACGTTGAGATACGTTATTCTCAAGTTCCGGAAGACGCGTTTGTATGGCATCGATCAGGTTCAACGCATGACGCTTAAGAGTTCGACCGTTTGGATAAATATGATTACGGCGTAAAATTTTCCAGTAAAATTTTGGATATTCTCCATTCTTAATGCAGCTTTTGAGAGTATCAGAATTAGCATTCGCTTCCGCAAGCTTGACAGAATATCGTAGAAACTCACTAAGTCCCTTTACTGTCAATCGGTCCTTGCACGCCTTTAAATCTCGAAAAATACCCATTTATTCATAAGTAAAAACACAGGTTTTGTTCAGCGAATCTAGATTTTGCTGCTAGGCTATTGACTTTGATAGTTTATATGCACGTATACCAATAAATATGGCTACAGAGGCAGTCAGAAATGAACTCATTTCTGACCAAGAACTTGGAGTTAGGACGAAAGTGCCACTTGAAGATATAATGCTTGTAGTGTAGATATGACTAACTTTCACAGTATTTAAATTCCAGGGTAAGATATACAAACGAACTGAATGAGTTGCCATAGTGTCACCAATATCTCTGGTTGTGATAGATATGTTCATGAATGGGTGGGAAAAGATAGCGATTGAAACGTTCAGTCCCATCCCAAAAGTATGATGGAGGTATGTAGATGACACATTCACTGTACTTAGAACACAAGATATGGATAGATTTTTCGAAAACATTAGCTCAAAGGTGGAAGCAATTCAACTCACTTATGAATTACAAAGTCAGGAAGAGGAGCTTCCAATGTAAGGTTGTAGCGTAAAAAGGAAAGAAGATGGGAAGTTAAACACATATCACCTTGTTTACAGGAAATCCACACATTCAAAAAGATACTTGGACTTCACATCATCCTATCCTATGTCAGTGAAAATTGAACTGGTGAAGTATTTAAGTAACAGAGCACTAAAACTAAATGGAATAACAAAGAAAATCTCACATAGGAAGTGAGGCATATACGACAAGCTTTGAAACTCAAAAATTATCCTGATAAATTAGTCAGGAACTATGTGGGGAAATGTAAAAATAAAATCAATAATAATAGTAGTAATAGTGATAACAACAATAATAATATTAATGATGACATGCAGGTCAAACATCCTCAGGATAATGACAACACCAACAATAAGGAATCTAAATCATCGGTAGTAATTCCATACAAGGAGGGAATCTTGAAAACCTTACGCAGAATTCTTAACAAGGCAGGCAGGAAAAAAAATCGCTGGAATTCAAATCAACTACAAACTCAATTGGAAGTAAGCTTTGTCGGTTAAAGGATGAATCCTGTGGAGCCTTGAAGATAAAACAATTTAGTTTATCTAATACTTCGCCTGCAATGATTGTCAGGTCAAATACATAGATCAATGTAGTAGAACACGGTCAGTCAGACTAGCCAAGCATAAAAACCTAGCAAAATCTAGATTGGTTGAGCCGAATAGGATAAGAAATCTGGAGAATAGTTCAGCCGAAGATAGCACTCAGTACATGCCCTACACACAACCATAATAAACGATGTGTGGGATAAGATGACAGTTTTAAGATCTAATATAACAACAGGGTGAAGGGAGAGATTGATAGTGACGGAAGCTTTCTTTATCCAATCAACACCTGTCCAGCCAGATATCTGAAAAATTTTACTTTGCCAACGACGACAAATAGGTGAGAACAAAGAAAACTATAAACTCAAGTTTCGAATCTGTGTGATTATAATTGATAATATGATTGTGAAGAATAATAGATTGTGTTGGAAACCTTGTCATCCAGTTTACAGTAATAATGTTGCACAGACTGTGTGATATAACTAATTAACAAACTAATATGGAATTACTTACTATCACAGTGCCCAAGTTTTACACATTTATTTATATCTGAACCTTTTACGAGTAGGATAAACCTGGAGTCATATAATAGATTGTGACTAATAGTAGAATTCGTAATGTATATATATATATACTTATATTTGGGACTTGCCAGCTAGATGTCCCTGGATTTTCTAGTGTTGCCACTACGGAGACTGGAATACAGTTACCACAGTGTCGCAAACGTGGAAGCGTTATCCATTAGACAGTTTAAGCCATGATAATCACCTCTTATGAAAAGAGCATTAAATTTCGATTTTTTCGTTGATTGATTTGACCAAAATGTTTGGTCTCTATTGACCTATCGGTTTCTAGTTCGGACATTTGAAAGATTTCTGAAGATTTACTAAAAGTAGCAGTGGAATCCAGGATGTGCATTTCGTGTTATTTGAGGCTGATCACCTGGATATACCTACATTCGACAGTGAATGATGCTCACTTGAACATTTCGCCTCCGATGTAATCAGTGAATGTGAGGTATAGAGTAGAGGAATTAAACAAATAGTAATTGGCGGCCACTTCACAATAGCTAGCTACTGTAACCCAATTGATTTAGTAGATAACGCTCTGTCGTATGTAACAATGCGTAATGGCTACAAGTGTCAGTAGGAACACCATCGCTCACTTAGGAATGCATGCATATCCACGTGATGAGTGTCAAACAAGACGAAATCCACAACTGCTAGTTACCACTCGCCAAAAAACAATTCATCTGTTTAAATTAATTTGAATTTTCCATTTGGTTAACTTGCATTGGAGTGAAATCCTCCATCTCTGTTGACCTATTGGTCCCTAGTACAGACTCTTTGACGATGTTCAATGATTAATGTTTAATGTCAATCGACTGATGATGACAATCGTTGGAATCCAGGATGAGTTGCTCGTTCTTTTTACTTGCATGGCTAATAAGTGACAGTTTGTCCACTTGAGACTGGAACTTAGCACACCTTCTTTTTTTAAATGCAAAACGCCAACTTTTGAGTCCAGGATAGGATGAAGTTCACATATAGTATATTCCATCCAATACTATCCCTCCCTTGCATCAGACAGATGACATAATATCATTTATATTTAATTCCTAAAATGTTATGTGAATACATAACACAAATTCTATTGTTTTTTACCTTTATATTTTAGACGTTCGGTATGACATTAATCTTAATGGGAAGTTATGTTCACCTATTCCTCAGTACATATATAGCTGATATACATGTGCATATATTGTCTTTAACATTTGCAATGATAGCACTTGGGTGTTTACTCTTTTCCATTGGTAGTATTGGCGTACTTAGTGTTTGGACTGGCAGACGTGCAATTATCATTATAGTCAGTTTATCTATGTCTATTCTATACTTTTTTTAAAATTTAATATATACTACTTATAGTATATAGGACTTTTAACAGTATACGTGATCAGTGGAATACTGATAGTTATAACTACGCTGAATATACGCAGTAAGGTAATCAATAACGTTCAATGAACATTGCTTTCTTTTGTTTAAATGAATCAAATACTTAATAAGTTCAGTTATTTAGGTGGGAATTTTATTTCATGATGTGATACAGAATGCTGCAAATCAATATAAAATTAAGAATAGTTCAAGGCGTTATATAGATACAATACAGAAACAGGTATGATTGAATTCATCGCTTATTACGAGTATAACATACTTGATATTATTATTATAGCATAAATGCTGTGGAGTAACTTCATATCAGGATTATACCGCATGCTCAATGCCAGCGTCGTGTTTTCCTGCTGACAATGGTGGACCATATGAAAATGTAATTTACATCAATTTTATATTAAATAATTAATCTACATTGACTTACATAACCATGATTTCACGAGAGAAATTACTATATTAGTTTGTTTATTAGTTATATCACACAGTCTGGGAAACAGTATTACTGTTAACTGGATGACAAGCTGTCGAACAAAATCTATTTTGGTACATAATCATATCATCAGTTATGATCACACGACTTTGAAACTTTTGAGTTTTTATAGTTTTCTTTATTTTCTCCTATTTGTCATCGTAGCGGTAATAGGATTTACCAGATGTCCGAACGAACAGGTGTTGAATCATTCCTATTACACGTATTTTCATTCACTTGATAGCATTAAATAAAGCTTCCGTTGTTATCAATCTCTCCCTTCACCTGCTGTTACATTAGATCTTAAAACTATCATCCTATCCCAGCCTATTGTATGGTTGTGTGTAACTGCGTGTAACAAGTGCTATCTGCAGCTAAACTATTCTCCAGATTTCTTATCTTATTCGGCTCAACTAGTCTAGATTGTGCTGCTGGGTTTTTATGTTGGGCTAGTCTGACTGACCGTGTTCTACTAGTTTGACCTATGTATTTGACCTGACAATCATTGCAGGCGAAGTATTAGATAAACTAAATTGTTTTATCTTCAAGGCTCCACAGGATTCATCCTTTAACCGACAAAGCTTACTTCCAATTGAGTTTGTAGTTGATTTGAATTCCAGCGATTTTTTTTCCTGCCTGCCTTGTTAAGAATTCTGCGTAAGGTTTTCAAGATTCCCTCCTTGTATGGAATTACTACCGATGATTTAGATTCCTTATTGTTGGTGTTGTCATTATCTTGAGGATGTTTGACATGCATGTCATCATTAATATTATTATTGTTGTTATCACTATTACTACTATTATTATTGATTTTATTTTTACATTTCCCCACATATTTTCGTGACTAATTTATCAGGGTAATTATCACGTTTCAATGCTTCCTTGATACTACTTAGTTTTTTGGTTAAACTTTTAAGTGACAGCGCACAAATCTAAGTAGTATCAAGGGAAAAATCTAAAACAGGATGTGATACATATAAGAGAACCCTTTAAACTTAATATCTACCCTGGTAAATTAGTCAGGAAACATGTGGAGTGCAATAATGAGAATATGATTTAGCGTTGGCGGCCCAGCAGTAGGATTCCCGCTGACCACGCATATATATTCCGGAAATCAGTCACTGGCCGACGTACTCCCAAACCTCACTAAACCTATAATAAGGCTAATAAAACGGGAATGTTTCGTGTGAAACCAGAAAATCAAAGAACGCAGTAAAACACAGTATTGTTTACTAATGACGTTTTGAGCACAATTTATAGCTCATATTGACTGTACACTATTTGACTGTCTACTTTTGTCAAATAAATTCACTCAGTCATCGAATCATACTCCACCACACTATCCGTTTTAATTTCCTTCACATTCCTCAGTGGAACATGGAGGTTCAAGCTAGTGGCTTGAAGTTTCTGTAGCAGTGGTGTTTATTTTTACACGATGGAGTTGATAGCCTGCCTCATGCCCAACTTTTCCTCTTTACCAGTATTATTTCTGGCTTAGTGAGATAAACGTGTGCGTCGGTGGCCGGGGATCAAACTTCAGGCCATGTGCATGGTCGGCGAACGTCCTGACGTCTATGCCACTGACGCACACTATCCCTGTTCTGTCCTTTTTCAAGTTTCTCCCTAATACTCTGCAATGCCTTGAAGGTGAAATACGTAGAGACGAAGTAGTAGTAGTAGGACACGAGTGATGAGATTCACGGAGCATTGAAATCTAACATAATCTAGATTAGGTGGAAGATAGCTCAAATATAGCACTACTTGGAATTACACAACAAGGATGAAATAGAATGGCATTATAATGACAAACTTAAAATCTAATGCAGTACAATGAATCAAGACAAATAATCATGGATTTTGAGTTTCTAAGCTTTATAGTTACAAGTGATATTAAAATGAATAATAAATTATATTCAAGTATTGGTTTGTAGAGATTTGGTTGATTGGTTAAAGGATTTCATCATTGATGAAATCCTGTAACAAATTATATATTTGGAAGGTATGGAGTTGTAATACTATAATGACAGAAAACAAGGGCCAGACGACATAAGGCTTATTGAGAATTATTCTATTATTATTATTATATCCTTTAATTCCTAGAGGAACATAGGGCTTCAGCTGCGCGTCCCCATTGCCTTCTGTTTTCTGCCAACTTTTTCACCCCACTCCAAGTCTGCCCAGATGCTTTCATCTCCTCTTCACACGACCTCCTCCTCCAAGTCACCCTCGCACTGACGACCAACTCGACACTTCCATTTCGGGTTCTATTCGAGCAATGGCTTGTCTAATAATGGCACTTGATGGTTTCCTCAGAGTATGACTAGCCAATCTATCTCCATTTCTTCCCGCATATTTGTTTCACAATCGGTTCCTGATTGGTTCGCTCCCAGAGATTGCTCTTGTTGATTATTCTGACTGGCCATCTGATCTTGAGTATTGGGCGAAGACAACTGTTGATGAAGGTCTGTAGTTTGTTTGAGATGCTCTTCATGACTCGCCAAGTCTCTGATCCGTATAGTAGCACTTACTTTACATTGGAGTCGAAAATCCGGATCTTATTTTTGATTCTGAGTGCTGCTGACTTTCACACAGACTTGAGAGTAATGAAAGCTTGTCTTGCTTTTCCAACTCTTGCCTTGATATCCTCGTCAGCCCCGTGCGCCTGTAGTTGAAACGATGCTTCCCAGGTAGGTAGGTAGGTGAAGGAGGCTGTTTCTTTCAGGCTCCTCGCATTTATGCTGGCTAACTGTTGTCTGTTGTTGTAGGTGGTGTTGGTGTTGGCCAGGATTCTTCATCATCTCTGTTTTCTCTATGTTCACCTGACGCGAAGTTCCATCTTCCCCGGTTACTTCTTCTGCCAGCTTATTGCTTTTCACTTGCATGTCTTCCAGTTTGTGGGAAATCAGACATTTATCATCGGCGAAGTCCAGATCCTCCAAGTTGTCTTTTGTGTGAGTCCATTTTATGCCCGTTCCCTCGTTGGTTGCCGTTGTCTGTCGCATTATCCAGTCTACTGCAATCAGGAAGATCATTGTTGATAGTAGACAGCCTTGTCGCACTCCCGTCCTCACTTCAAAGGCTTCCGTAAGTTTTCCGTTGTGGATTTCTTGGCATGCAGCACTGTTGTATAACTGTTGGGTGAGATGTATAATTGTCGATGGGACCCCGTAGTAGTTTCCCAATGACCTCTCGATCGACGCTGCGCTGTCGAAAGCCTTTTCAAAGTCGATGAAGTTGAGATAGAAAGGTATTTAATGAGAAAATCAAGAAATATTTATGGATTTTTATGTATAATTATATTATTCATTATTGTTAGCAGAGAAGCAACCTCTTCTGATTGGTTGTTTTCTTGCTGAAAGTTGTTATTCTGTCATCTCTTTTTGTGGACGTTTCTTAGACAATCCGTTAACATACTTGTAAATCGTATCTGTCCACGTTAAGTCTTCTGTGACTGGCTGGTGAGTTCAACCAAGGTTAAGCCTTGTTCTTGTTTTTTTTCCCCATAACCCCGATTCGGGAAATAAAAATATTGACGTCAATTGTTGTTTACAATTTCGTCTTGTGGACAGCTCTCACCACAGGATTATCACAATAACCATGCTTTGCATAAATACAAAAGATTTAGATGAATCCACATGAAAAGACTCAAGTTAGGATGAAAATTAGCAACCTGAACATCCTTGAGAGTCATTATCAACCAAATAACCATCAATTTAGGTTGTAAGGCGTCTTTTTCTTCATGGAATGTCTTGCTTAACATGCACACACACACACACACTTAATTTCCACTTATTTATCTGTCTCTTTCATATTCTCTTTAAGGGTTGTCTTGCTCAACTGGACGGTTATATTCAACAGTGTTTATTATTCATCATGACGTGTATACTCACTTGTATACCGATTGAAATTGCATCAGCTATTACTGCTATACTATTGTCAGTGAAAAGAGAAACAATATCCTGGAAAGAACAAATCACCTTTTGTTGAAATACTGAATAGTGAGAAGATTATTTTGTCTGATGAAATACTTCTTTTCCTTAGTCGTCTTTTTCTTCTCCTTCTAATGGTTGCTTTCTCTGTTCTGAATGGTTGAAAACTGCCCTAGATGTCATTGTCTTCCTAGACAGCATCTTCAGCGCAAATTTGAATGACATATTTCTGTTTGTTTTGGAATTTTGTCATTATATGCATTCGGTTGACCAGTAGACTATTACTATTCCATCTTATACTTGTACTTCAATAGTGTCTACCGTGTAATTACAATCTGTCTTTTCACTGACTGTTTGTCTTCTAATTTTCATCGATTTATATCTGCAGAGCCTGAAGAAGAAAAAAGAGAAGTTATAGATATGCTCAGAAAATGTTCTTATTCACTTCTTTTTGTCCGAATTGTTTAAACATTTTCTAGCAGATATTATTCACCTAACACGTCACCATACTACCCCCATCTAGTTTGATGACCTACACAGTGTTTATTTCTTTAATTTGTATAATTGGTATTTCTTATTTTACTTAATTAGTGATCGTTTTGACTGTACTGTGTAATAAAGAACAGAGGGAACTTGAGCACAGAAAGAACAAAAATATTGGGGCAAAATATTATCGATCCATTTGATTTCTCCGCTTCTCATCAGCTGCTCACAGCCTATACTCTTTGATCAATAAATGTCAGTGTGAAATTTAACATACTTCTGTCTGTCAATAAGCATGTTGAAAGAGCGTCATAGAGAGATGGAACATCAGGATTTTAAGATATCTGAAGTATTATAGTAAATATATATATATATATATATATGAAAACAAAACACGTAGATCAGCGAAGAGTCTCTTTTCGGCAGTGAATTCATTTTCTTAGCTGTACAATAGCAAATTTATATGCGTTATTTTGCATGTGTGCCTAAAAAGAAACTTTACATGAACTTGGATTTCACGGAAGATTTTTTGCAAGCGATATTCTCAAGAGAAGGATCACTTCATTTCTGAGAAGAACATTATTTGTAGCAACGCTAAGAATAGTCTTCTCTAGTCACCCACTGATCTGCAGTAGCTTCAAGGACAAGATCCCGTATCTGACCACTTCTATGTGCATATATCAGTTCACCTGCTGCTGTGGAGCCAGGTACGCGCACCCTGTCCAAGAGGATTCAAGAACACTATCCAGCCAGCATGGTTGCGAAAAGGCAATAGTGGTGCAATAAGGAGTGCGATAACTGAACACTTGGTTAACACTGATCATTCCATTTCAATAAACGCCTCCTTCAAAGTAATCTACAGAGCGAAGAATAATCTATCAAAGGCAATACGGTTTCGTTTTCTCTGTATCGCTGAAGCTCTGACCATTCACATAGAAAAACCGGAGCTGTGCATACAAAACAAGATTTCTCAGCCACTTCTACTCTCATGGTCACAACGTTTTTCTGTATTGGATTTGATTTTTTTGATTTTGATGACTTAATTTTGTTTCTTTGCCAGTTCTTTAATTGCTTATAATTCTTGTATTCACTTAGATCTCTTTCATAGTTTCGTATTATCTACTTTGTTTCTATGTGCATCCTGAGTAAAACTCACTCATCAAACTATTCATATTAATATTACATAACTTCTTTTAACAACTGTTTGTGACAACTCATCACCTTTGTTACTACCCTAGTTTCATTAACACCTAATTTTCTTGACTTGTATTACCAATCTTTCACGTGTTTAGTTAAAACAACCATAACCAATTGTAATTTTGTTTGACAAACTTAATGTACACATACATACAAAATAACATATTTATTTGCGATTGTACAGCTAAGAAAACGAATTCGCCGAAAACAGACTCTTCTCTGATCTACGTGTTTTGATTTCATTAATGTCTGGATGAGGATTATCCGTGAATATATATATATATATATATAGTGCACATTATACCCTTGAACTTTTGTTTAAACTCGCTCACCCATGGTGATACACTTTTTGTCTTTTGAGTTGTGACTCTTGTGTGCGTTCATTGGTTCGCTCTCTTGTTGTGCTCTCTTTCTGCACACTCTCCCAGCCTACCTCCAGCAACATCTGCAGATAAGTTGTACGACTTCTTTATTTATTGAATTTTATATTTCGTCGAATAAAATATAATTCTCCCAGGTACCCTTGTCACATCAAGTCTTTTTACCGCGCTACAGTTCGTCAGTATTTGCGCGTCGAGTAGTGTACTGCTAAGGTCGCAAAACGGTGAAGAAGTTTGTAAGAGTGTTTAGAGTATAGGTCCACTCTAAGCCGTAATAGAGTTCTTACATATATATATATGTCGTTAGAGGGAAGTTTCTCTAAAAATCAGTGGACGAATTTGTTGATAGTGGGGTAACAAAAAACTAGGATTAAAATTTAATGTGCAAGAGGTTAGATGGAAAAGTGATCGTGTAATTCGATGAGCACAACTCAAAAGATCGAAAAAATTATGACTTATGTACGTGAAACGGTAAAAAAGAGAAGGAGAGGTGAGAAGATCAGTCCATACGGTTAGAAAATGAAGGGTTACTAATGGATGAGTCACCAAAGCAACTGGATTCCAATGACAGATTCCTTTTAGACATACAAGTCAGGTTTCCGGCGTTTTGTTGTGATAACCTCAGCAGACTGAAGAATATTTGAGCTATTTTGTCTGTCAATTATTTTGAACAATATCACCGCGTCTACTTGGTGTCCAGCATCATCCATCAGGTGTTAAGTAATTGAAAAGCTTAAATTACTTGGCCCTTTCAACCGAAAGCTCATAGGTGCATGTTCGAGGAATCTGACGCAGGCTCTTCTCTATCATCTTCAAAGGTTACTTTTTTTTGTTTTATTCCTTCACGTTCCCCAGTGGAACAAAGGGCTTCAAGCTAGTGGCTTGAAGTTTCTGTAGCAGTGCTTATTTTACAGGATGGGGAAGCTAGCCTCATGCCAGCATTATTTCTGGCTTAGCAAGGTAAAGCAGTGCGTCCGTGGCCGGGGATCGAACCCCGGACCATGTACATGGTCGGTGAGTGTTCTAACCGCTATACCACCGACGCTCAAAGGTTACTACTCTCGAAGAAACTGGCACAAACTATCGGGGGTAACGTATGAGAAGTACTTGATCTTCTCTTATTTAACTATATGACAATTACTAGTTTTTTGTTACCACACTAACAACAAATTACTCTACCGATTTTTCAAGAAACTTCCCTCTAACAACTTATATATGCTGTAATGCTTCAGATATCCTATCATCCTGAAGTTCCATCTCCCTGTGCCGCTCTTACAACATGCGTATTGATAGACAGAAGTATGTTAAGTATAACACTGACATTTATTGATTAAAGATGATAGGTTGTGAGCAGTTGATGAGAACTGGAGAAATCAAATGGATCCATATTATTTTGCATCAATATTTTTGTCCTTTCTCTGCTCAAATTATTAAAGGGGAATTCTTGCAGGGTCTTCTATATACACTTCTTATGACTATACCGTCTTTTTTTCTACTCACAAGGGTGTTTGGGAATTAAAACCTACATCAACTGACCAATATGCTTAATATTTGAGCTTCACACTGTGTCCTACCTAAATTGTAGGGATACCTGTATTTCCATCCATGAAAATGCTTAACCTCTTCTGCATTTTATATTGCCTTAATTGTTCAATTATATCAGATGGTCTAAAATAAACTTTAAGCACCACTAACTAACTATCAGGGGAGTGCAGCCGCACCAATGACCTTGAAACGTTCACTGAGCAAGTTAGTGAAACCTGATAAATAATGTTGTCATCATCAATAAAATATGCTCATCGAAGGGTTATGCTAACAAATGGAATATCTGTCAAGTTTCAGCTTAAGTTTGGGAAAGATTAAGTTACTCTTCAGGCCAAATATAAGTTAGGGTTAGGTTAATCTAACAAAGGCGACAACCGGTTTGGTCTGAGTTAGATTAAAGTTAGATTAGAGATATTTTCATGTTAGGGTTACGTTCAGGAAGACCTAAATAATTTGATAAATAGAATGTGGTTAAATTTCTCTGTTAATATAAGAATGGAACTTGTGCACCATGGTAGGGTATAATTCCATTTCGAGTAAAGTTTATTTTGATAAAGTCTCAGGATGTTATACAGTAAGTAATATTTACTGATGACCACGTTTCAAGCATAGTTTATCGCTCAGTAAATATTACTGTATGACATGAGACTTTATCAAAACATATTTCACCTACAATTGAACTATACTCTGTTGATACTCCAACCTAAAACTGAGAGCTGTTTTTACCACATGTGAAGGTAAGGTATCCTCTGTAAGGCTTTTCTACAGTTTTTATGCATTTTTTTCATAAAAATATGTATTCCATACACAAAAGTGGCTCCTTCACATGATTGGTGCTTTCGAAGTCATTCGATGATTGCCAGTTAGTGGTGCTTAAAGTTTAACTTTGCCTAAAGCCACAGTTCACCAAAGTACCAACAGTTCCAAAGAAAAGCTTTTTTGCAACTTTGCTTCCTCTAGGGTGATAACATCAGTGAGATATTGATACAACGTCCAGAGAATACTGCTCAAGTATTCTGTTTCTTCCAAAACACCCCCTATTTCACTTTTTTCGAGTTAAAGATAAACAACATAGTTTCGCCTGTTCTTTGGATATCCATCATTTTGACTGCTCCTGTAAAGCCAGCCATTTATATAGGCCGTAGAATTAGGCGTGTTTATCGTCAGATTTCTAAAAACCATAATGCAAAATTGTTAGATAAACGACAAACAAATACCGTTCGGGGTTCTATGCTATCTCATCTCGTGGATACAGAACACAAAACTAATGTTATCAAGGCGCCTTTCAAAGTCATCTACCGTATACTAGCTAATCTTAATTTTACCTCAAGAGTTCGTTTATTACACATATTGCTGTGGCTAGCTGTTCAAATCTACACTAAGAAGCTTCATCTATGTATCAAAAGAAGTTGGTTAGCTCATACGCTCTTCTTACCGTTGCTGTTAATCAAGATTTTAATGATGCTTGATTTGTTATTATAGAAACCGTCTTAATTTTATTTGATATACTATTTACTATTGTATTTTTATGCTTATTATAACTTACACATCTTTCTTGAATTACAATTCTATTGATTTTAACAAATCAATATTATTTATAAAAACGTCAGTCTTGCTAATGACCTATAAAATAGGCAAGTGTAATAACGTCTAGAATGTTTACTGCATTCCTTCTCATTTCCAGTTACGCCTCTATTGAAAGAAAGAGAACAATGGCCCGGAATGCGGTTTGAATTTATTCAAGTGGCTAGTTTTGTGCATGAACTTGTTTAACTTATGTCGTATTTTTAAGTGGATGAGTGTTGTAGACGCTTAAAATGTTACATTTGTCTGCTCTGAAGGTGATTTATTGATGTTTTCCACTACAGCTAGAATATTTGCTGCTTTCTTCGTCATGCTAGACTTTGTAGGGGTAAGTAATTCCACAGAATTATTAGCCACAACATTCATCACTGAACATTGGATGCTGACTCTCAGTGTTTTAGTCAACTTGTTTAGCCGAAGGCTTCCGGTGAAGCATCCACGCCATTTCGCACGCTGTCGTGTTACATTCGTTTGTTCGTTTGTACAGGATCCTGGCACTTCAATTTCGTCCCGAAATATAATTTGGACGGTCAATTCTGGTGTTTTGTTTTGCCTTTGGTCTAAGAGGAACAAATACTACAGAAGTTGTGGGTATAAGAAAGAAAGAAGAATTCAACAGACAACTACAGGCAACAATGGACAATACTCCGGCTGGCGACATGAAAATACTAATGGGA